TCCCCTCCCCCTGCCTTGGTCTAAGGCACCAGGGTGACCACAGCAGCCTCCTCCCTCATCTCCCTCATCCCCTCTTGCCCCCAAGAGTCCCAGTGATCCCGAGAGCCTGGCACATAGGTGCTAAATAAGTTTCTGTTGGATGGATGGATGGATGGATGGATGGGATGAATGGATAAAATGAGCAGCTTCCTTGGGCAGAGACCCATCTCCAAGGAAGCTTAAATCCCCCAAGGAAGCCAGCCAGGGTGCGCCTCAGTGAGCCTGCAGTGACCCGCTGCATGGAATCTTACCCGGTTTTTCGCTTTTTGGTAGAGGTGGTGTCTTCAGTTTCTTTGGTGATAGGCTATAACCAACACAAAGGAAAGAAGGTCGGGGAAGGTCAGGCTGGACCTCACCATAGCAGGGGGGCAGGGTGGGCGGGGAAGTGAGGAAGATGCTCCAGGAAGAGGCAGGAGCCAACCCTCCCTAAGAACCAGCAAGCAGAACCCTGACAACTGTGACTCCATTGCCTGCTGAAGTCGCAGGGAACCAAGGCCCCCCATCCCAAGAACTGTAAGGGAGGCTACTATACAGCCCTCCCCCAGGCCCTCTCTTGGCCTCTTGCTTCCTTGCAGACAGGAAGCCTTCCCCTATGAGTGGAGAAGACGAGAACCTGCTTCCGGAATGAATTGTTTACAAACATGAATAATGCTCTTATATTATCTTGTATCGGCATTCCACTTCAGCAGGCCTTTTAATGCACCTGATGTAATTTTCCCTCTCTACAGCTCTGGGAGAGGGGCCTTCGAGAGGTAAAACTGAGGCTCACAGATGGGAGGTGTCTTGACCAAGGTTGCAGTGAAGCCTGCCTTTCTCCTGTGCCTCCCCTGGCCTCCCAAACTGGCAAAGCAAACCAAGTGCAGGCCCAGAGCAAGCACCCACACCTTTAACAAATCTAAGTGAGCACAAGCACCTGCCCCCTTTCTCCCCAAGCCTACCACACTCCAACCACCCCCAAACTTAGCATCCCCTAAAATGTGCCCATTACTGACCTCCACACCTGACACTCCCTACCCTCTCCTTTACCTGTTCAGATCCTAGTCACCAAGCAGTGCTCTCCAAGCTCTATCAGAAATACTTGGGTGATGTTAAAAATACACAGCCCCTGTGTACCCCCTGCCACCTGCTGTTAGACTCTAGAAATTTTCACTTTTAACAAGCTCCCGTGAATCTGAGCGCTGTTGGGCATATAAGCCAGGCGTGCCCAAGTCTGACGCCAACTCTTCTGCCGACCAGACAGGTGACTTTGGGTCATTCAACTGTTTCTGAGCCAGTTTTCTCATCGATAAAATGGAGGTGATAGAGCCTCCATGGGCGGTTGTATGGACTAGAAATATTTAAAACACCCAGCGATGTCAAGCAGATATAATGGGCATTCAATATTGCAGGCTCCAGTGCTGACTGTCAGGCCCTACTCACCTGCTTTGTGAGGCCTTCCTTCACCTTCCCTTTCCCCAAGTTGGAATTAATTGTCTCTCTCCAGCCATCCAGGGTGCTTAATACCGACATAAAGGTACTGCTGCCTGCCTGTATTAGTGATCCTTCTCTACTATGTCTTCCCAAAGACCAAGAGCTTCTGGAAGGCTAGCTGCGGCTTCTCCATCCCTGTCCTGCTACAACTGACACTCGTCACCTCCCCCCAGGCATCCCCACAGCCGGCAGCTGGAGTCTGGTCTGGCAGAGTGGGCCTCAGCTGGAGGGGCCCATGGGAGGGGCTGACCTCTTCCTCCAGGACTGGCTCAGTCACCCCAGGCTCTGGCCAGTGCCAGGCTCCATTCTCTGGTCCCCACTAGCCTCACCTGGGAGGACAGGTGCTGAACTTGAGGAAGCGGTTCTGGGAACAGAGGGGGCCAGTGAGGGAGTGTGAAGCCCACCTGCCGGATGGCTCTTGCCTCTCTTGAGGTGATTCTTGAACTTTTTGGAGCTGGTTCAGGAGTTTTTCTGTTGGGATGGAGACTAAAGCCTTGGGAAGGAGCTGAGCCACTGCTGTCTGCAGGAGCCTCAGTGCCAAGTCCTTTTCTGTAAGCACAGCCAGGGAGCAGAGTCCTCAGGGGCATGATCCCAGCCCCCATCCTGTAGTTAGAGGGGACATGCAGGAAGCAGGGCCCCCAGCTCTTCTGCTTAACCCTGGCTCAGGGCAGCTTTTTCAGTCATCTCACATTCTGCCCATAGGACCCCATGGGCAGCTCCTACTTCTCCCTGGCCCCTGTGTGTGCTGTGTGCTCAGTCTTTCCACACCTCCCATGTTCTTGGCCTACCTGCCCACGACACCCCCCTGGCCCACTCTGGGAAACCTATAGGGGCCTGCCCTCTCCCCCTCCCCCTTCACTCTCCCCATCAGGAAGCCTTCTCCAACCAGTTCTCCAGCTTTCATCATTCCTCACCTTCCCACTTAGACATACCTTCTACCCCTGCCCCAGTGTGTACATAGACGTCCATTCATGTGTTCATGTACATATACGTATGTGTTCTTATGTGCATGCATTTGCATCTGTGTGTGAGCTTTCCACAGTGGTGGGTAAGGGGCTGTGTCTGCTAAGTCTGGTCTTTGGATTTTTCCCTCCCGGGTGCTGAGGCTTGCGGTCAGCATGGAGGAGGGGTCCCTTCTGAGGATTGGAGCATGCAAATCCTGCTGGGGAATGGAAGAAGGGACCAGGAATGTCTAACCAGAAAAAGTTAGTCTGAGGCTCTAAAAAGGAGAAGAGGCTCAGGGAGAAGGTCCTGGGGTGGGAGCCGAGTGACATGACATCTGAGTACTTCAGAACCAGAGGACAAGGCCGTCAGCATGCTCCACTCAGACCCGGGTATGGGGCTGTGCCTCACCCTTGGGAGGAGCGTAGACTAGCCAGAACTGGATAGCACTCAAGGAATCTGTTTGCAGAATCTGACAAAGGAGCTCCAAGATCTGTGGGCAGGAGGACAGGCCTGGGTTAATGTGCTGGACGGCATGTTCCAGCTGCCAACACAGGCGCCTGCCCCAGAAGTGGGATCCCAGAGCCACATGGTTGGCTGAAGTCCCCACAATTGTCCTTGCAGCCCCTCTGCGTGGGACTTTGCTCGCTACTGCGGGCTTGCTCTCCCAAAGGCCCTGCAGGAAGATTCTCAACCTCTTCACGAACAGGTAAGGAAGCTGAGGCCATGAGAGAGGGGGACATCCAGCAGAGACTGAGGCAGCACTAACCCTGAGTCAGATATGTGGACCCTCATCTCTCAGCCTTGCTTGGGCTGGTCATACCACAGAGTCCCTCCCTGGGAAGGCAAAGTCAGAGCTGGACAGTCAGCTCCTCAGAGACGCACCGAGTCTGGAATGGAGTCCTTGGTGTGGGGATTTCAAGGACCCCATGAGCCTCCCCTCCCTGAAGTTCCCAAATTCAGAGACTGGAGATGTTAGCAAAGAGGTGGGGCGATCCCAGTGGGCAGCCTGAAGACTGGGGCTGGCGGGTTGTGCAAACTGCTTGGCTTGGGGCTTCTTCCCGCCCAGCAGCGCACCCGCTCTGCTCTTAGCTGTGTCTTCAGCCTTTGCCACCTCTGCTGCTTCACGGCCCTTTCCCCCCTGCGTTCTCCAGTCAAGGATCATTTGGAAAAGATCCAGCTCTGTCTTCAATGGGCTATGGGAGCACGCTAGGCCCGGGTGTTGATGGTGGCTGTAGCTATGCTTGCCTGGAGTTTGAGCCCCAGATGGTAAGTGGAGCACCTGGCGCCCTAGGAAAGTGGGGTTCCCTCTTTCAGGAGAGCCCACTTGAACCAGTGGTGGTCAGAGGGGAACCTGGGATTGCCTCTCCCCAGGCCTATGCCTGCTAGGGTGTCCACCCTTGCCCCCAGGTACCCACCCCAGATGGTGACCCCACCCCCACTCTACCCCAGCTCCTTCTCAATTCCCCACATCCAACTTACCTGCCCTTCGCACCCTCCCCAAGGAACCTGAGAACCTACTTCCAGGCAAGGTGAGGCCGCCCTATGGTGGAGAAAGTACTGTGTTCCAGTCCCAACTATGCCGCTCCTTCTCTGGGACCTGGGCCACAGAATGTCACCTGGCAAGGCCTCAGTCTCCCCATCTGGAATGGGGATCCCAGGCCCTGTCTGCTCTGTTCACTTCTCTGGACTGTTTGAAAGCACTGGTCACAGGAATGGGGTCGAGATGCTGGCTCACTGTCTGGCCTTTCCTGGGGAACATGTGTGCATTTCAACAGGGACTTTCAATGCCTTAACCCACCAGAACCAATCATGGACTCGTCTCAGGCCTTGATGGGAAACTTGAATGCTGAGGAGGCGGGCTTTGCACTTTGTCGTGGCAGACAAGACACCTCTCAGAGTATGGGGAGACTAGGCTGGGACCGGCCTTGCCGGCTGCAGGGTACCACACACCGGGGTGTGGTTTGAGGCCATACAGGCAGGACCTTCATCTCAGTGCTTCTCATTCCACCACTGAAGCTCCCTTCATTAACCTGCCAAGTGCCAAAGCTGGAACAGACTTTACGATGACATGTCTATGCTCCCAGTTTGGCTGGATCATGGAACCAAGGCCCCCAGGAGGGGAAAGAACTTAAAGAGGGAAAGGCTTACACTGAAACCTGGAAGCAGCAGGGGATTAGAATGCAGGCTCTTGACTCCCAGGTCTTACAATCTTAGGTGCAAATATGGCTGAGAGAGGGCACACTTCCCAGCAGTTTGGAAGAGTCCCAGTTGGGATCACTGTAGGCCTGGGAATGATCCCATCCTGTCCTCCCTTAGACTAGGGCCTCTGTAGGGCCACAGCCCCAGCCTTCCCAGGGTCTCACCAGCAGCTCCTGATCCTGCAGGACACAGGTCTGGACTCCTGCATTTCTGCCTGAAGGGCAGTTCCCTCGGCCTTGGCGGGAGTGGCTGTGGCTGAGGGCTCTGGAGGAAGCAGGGATGAGCCTCCCAGTCTCTGCCGAGTACTTTGCACCCTGTTCCCGCTGAGGTGCCTCCTCCTGGAAGGAAAGTGGCCAGAGACTCGGGGGGTATTGGGGGTGGCAGGGGGGGGGAGAGAGAGAGAGAGAGAGAGAGAATGGATAATAGATAGATGGCAGATAGATGATGATGATAGATAGATAGATAGATAGATAGATAGATAGATAGATAGATAGATGATAGATAGATAAATGATAGATAGGATAGAGAAGACAGAGGAGAAGAAAAAAGAATAGGAGGAGGCTGGGTCACATCTCCAGGGTGCCCTCAGCATCACAGCACTGCAGGGACCCAGGATGTAGACCAGGCCAGCCCCACCCTGTCCTAGACCCCTTTCCCCAGCAGGTGGCTCTTCCATCATAGCCAAAGCTCTTCCTCCTGGAACTTCATTGAATGCTGGCCACCCACCTACTGCCCCCACCCCT